ACTGCAGATGTGCTGGAGAGTGCAGAAGTCAGATCTCTTCCAGAACAAGGACAGATGTGCGGCTGTGTCTTTTTGTGCTGGCCTAGTTCTGCCCTTGTTACATCAGTTTTCATTTTTACAAAGAGGTGGTGGCAGGGACAGGCTGCAGCCCAGCAGGTCACCCTCGTACCAGAGTGGCACAGCCTTCCCAACAGGTCCTGGCAGTCCCAGCCTGGATTCCACTTCCCCTTCTGGTGTCTTAACAGAAGTGCAAGAGTACAGTGCATTGTAGTAAATTTCTTTTTTCTTTTTCTAAAGGACACAGCTAAAGAATAATCTTTTTTCTTATCTCATCAATTATCTCATCAACTCCTGTGTTGTGCTGCTGGCAGGAATCTAGAACTTCATCTTCTTGGAAAATAAGCAAGGAGAAACATTCTCCCCATCATCATAGGCATCGTCCCCAGTGAGCGCAGTTCTGAGGAGCTGTAAGACCAGGCTAGACCAACAGCTATCTGCATCTGATATCTGAGGTATCTGGGTTCAACTTTAAGAGGTTTGGCTATTAAAAAATACCTGTCTGAGCTTCAAAAAGCAGCCAAACTTTCTGATTCTCAAAGTGCTCATGTTCTTCACTTACAGAGTTAACATGGATGCCTAGCAGACTTACAAAATAAAATACTAACAAAGTAGATAACAAGAGTAGGTAACTCCTTCCTAAAGCATAACAGCATTAAATGTTTAAGGTTTTTCCCATGAGAGCCAAATGCTTGGCTTGTTTTTATGTGCTGGCCCTTGACAATGGTTGTTCCGCTCCTTGCACTGGCTGTGCCCCCTCATTCCCCTTCTCTGCTTCAGCTCTCAGCAGAGCTGGTGGTGCTGAGCCCCAGATGGGGCTCTGATAGGGGAATCAGCAGCTGCCTCTTCCATCCTCTCCAAGCCTGGGGTACAAAGCCCTGTGCCATCTCCTGCTTTCCCACCTCCTCTTCTGGGCTCCAGCTCCCACACCAGCTCTGGAAGCTGCGACCTTACATCAGTGACCTGGGCATGTGTAGACAGCCTGCCCTGCTTTCTGTACACTAGTGAAATTCTAGTTTTCTCTATTTTATAGCAGAATTTCCCTTTTAAAAGAAATACATCCCAATATCCCATGATAAAACATCATGTGGAAAACAAAGCACTACTCAGGCCAGCCTATAGATTCACTCTACCTCATCCTAGTAAGGATAGAGAGACTTTTTCTTTCCTGAGCCCTCCCTATCATTGGGGAATTTGGGGAAGTCGATTTTGAGGGTTTTTTTTCTTTAGCCATGCTAAAATTTTGTTTTAGCCACATGCTAAAATTTTAGCCATATGCTTCAGCATATGCTTCCTGCTTTTGCAATAATTCCCTCCCAAAGATGATCTGAATGAATTGATCACTGGGTTGCCTATGAACAGCATCACTTCAAAGAGGCTAAAGCAGCTGCAGCCAAGCAGATAAATATTTCCAGGTATCTGCTCAGTTTCCCCAAGAGTTATGTACAATTTGTAGGTGTTATTCATTAGCTATTCTGATTCCAGGACTGATTGAATGCCCCCCAAACACCAGACAAGTGTTCAGAAACACAGTGGGAGCTAAGAATCTGCAAGACATCCCTCATACAAAATTTAGAAGCAGATAAGGGAATTTTTTTAAATCTTCCTTTTTCTTTTCTTAATTGGCAGTTTACTGTAGAGATAACACTGTTCACACCCCAGCATGTTGATCCAACTGGTTAGAAAATACACAGGCCAAGCAAGAGATGAATCCTAGAATGGTTAGGGCTGAAAGGGGCCTCATAGATCATATAGTTCCAACCTCCTGGCACGGGCAGGGACACCTTTCTCTAGACCAGGGAGGCCTTTCACTAGATGAGGCTGGAGAAGCAGAAACAAAGCAGTGAACAGTGTTGGGTCACCCATGGAACTGGCTGGTATAGTTTGTCTTGAGTTTTGGACAAAAAGGGTAAATGAGGAGACAATGCTGCTGCATGGAGTGCCCTTTTTAGTGGCAGGTTGCAGTAGAAGGGAACTCCTTGCTTTCAAATGTAGATTGATCACCTGGCCAAGGCTTTGATGGAACACTGAAAGGTGAAGCTGTATCTGAAAATCCCAGTTGTGTTTCTTTACTTTTTTTCTGAAGTATTCACTGAGCTCATGCAAGAGTCAAACTAAACCACCCTCCTCATATTCCCTCTGACAAAAACTTGGTGTTTGTCTTTCAGAGATCCCTGTCTCCCATTGTCATTGGCTTAGGCTGCTCTGAAAGTAGTTAAAGCCTGTGCCTTTATACTTTGCTAAGGCCTCACTGTGTTTTAATAGTCAAAAATGTTTTACTAGAGCTGGCATCTTTTGCTCTGTTATTGTTTTAGTTTTCTTTACTTCATGTCTTATTTATGAATAGTTTCAAAACAGGCCAATGGAAATCTTCAAGTAGGTTTTTAAACAAGTTTTGACAATGTTTTTTGGGTTTTTCTGAGCTAAAAATAATACAAATCAGCAGGTACAGACTAGAGAACAGTGCCTTCAGTCCCCAAAGGACATTTTACTGCATTTACTCCCTACAGGAGGACAAATAGGAAAAAAAAATTAAAAACAGGTAACAGTTCCATATGATGCTGTAAAGGCCAAGACTTAGCTAAGCAGTGCCACTGTTTTCTCAAAAAACAAAAAAAACATGGTCTTGTATGTGATAAAAAATTAGAAGGCTAATGGCTTGACCAGCAAAGAGGTAGGCACAGCTTGCTGATGCTGCTCCAGTGGGAGACTGAAAAATATGCTCCAGAAAAACTTAAAAATGGCTTTCAGGATTTCCAGCCACTGACTCAGCCTAATTCCCCACTTTGTTCTTGGACTCTTACATGTTTTGGGGTGTCTTACACTTCTTCCCCTTTTGTGTAGATGTGCTTTTCCATTGTACTTTCATTCTTTGGTCTCACTAATATGTTTGCACCATTTCTGTACTTTGGTTTTCTGGGCAGTGAAAAGAACAGTCTCAGTTCCCTCCAGGTATTTACTTTTCTTTTATAGAGACTGTAGAGTGACAGTCACAGGAACAGAGATCAGGCAGCAACCTCAGCAGCAGTCAGCTCTGAGCAAAAATACTTGGAAAGACTGTAAAATTTTGAAGTGTTTTGTTCAGTTACACATGCATCACAGGATAGTGTCATCAGCACAGATTTAAAAAACAAAAGATTTATCCTTTCAGCTTTGAACAGCCAGCAATCTCTCAAGAATAAAAGGTGGGGGACATGGAATTCATGGTGGCATACAGGCCATGAGAGCCATTTCTTAACCTCTCAGCAGGGGACTGGAGAAGTGCACATTCTACACATACACATAAAATTAAATATCACCTATGTTAAGATTCAGAGCTGGAACAGCTGGAACAGGAATTGGAGGGGGAGCTGGGTCACGGACAAGAGAAAGCAATGAGGAACCTGGAAATAACATTCAGGTTTTGGATAACATTTGCAAACTTTGTTCTGGCCCTGAATGCCAGGCAGTGAGCCCAAGGAGCCTTCCCACGGAGGGAGCTCTCCTTGCTTTGACAAAAGGTTGAGGCTGTCACTAGAAGAACAATTGAGCAAGGTCTGGTAACTGCAGCCTCTGAAATCCTAAGTTCTATCAGAGAACCCAAATATCTTTGTATCTGTTGATGAGCCCAATCATGATCATTTTTTATGGCCAGAAAGCAGAAAGCACAGAAGGATCTGTAGCAGCACCTTGACCTCTCCATCAGTTATGATTATCAAAATAGAAGTAGGGCTTGGGTTGAGTACAGGCACAGAAGTTACATTTTCAGGAGGAGACAATACCAAATGCTCTTTCAGAGAAAACAGAAAGTTGAAAGGAAACTTTCAGGTTGAGACTCCTGTGGCAACACAGGAGTGGCTCCTGACATGATCCACATGGCCACATAGTGCGAGCAGCTGGCTGAGCTCTAAGTTTTGCATTTTTAAGGCAAGACACAGATCTGGATGGGGAAATGGAAAATTGTAAAATGCAGTTCCACTTCGGCTGTCACTGCAGACTTTCCTTCAAGCTTACATTATAAATGCAGTATTTAATAGGAATTGGAATTTTAAAAAGAACAAAATAAGATGGCTCTCATATGGGGAGTAATGCATGTTTATATTTTAGGAGCAGGAAAACCTCAGTGAAATTGTGCTGGGAATATAATAACAAACATTGTTTGTGTATGGTCCCTGCACTGCAATAGCACTTCAGCACTTTAAAACTCCCTTTCTTTAGGAGTGTGTATTCTTGAGTCTGGCCCACAGAAATAACAATTACCTGCTCAAATGTCTTAAATACATTTACTGAAGGGAAAAGGTTATATCAGCTGAAAACCTACATGTTATAGTCATTTAAAATACTCTGTTAAGCTACAGTCATTTGAAGAGTTCACTGAAGGATATTAGGATATTAAGATATTAAACATGAAAAGCATTGCACTGTATTGTTTAACTGAATCCGTGTTTTCATCTTGTGTACTTGAACGCTGGATTGCAGAATGGAACATATGTTCATGTGGGTTTTTATGCTACATGTGGATTATTTTTTTAAATAAATGAAGTTATATAACAACAATCCCACACATATACTTGGTTGCAACATTTCAAGGGCTGGTTAAAATTCTCTTAGAATGCACCCTGGCTTCTTTGTTTCATAGTCAGAGAATATTACAATCTACCATTTATACTCAACTTCATTTTAAGATTAATCTAGTTAATTTAGCTTTAAAGTAGCATTATATATATTTGTATATATATTTGTATTTTACATATATTTGTATATTTGTATTACAGTTTGTGGAAACCTGAGGATTTAATAATGATTCCAGTGTAACTGTTAGGGAACCTTACATTGCAGATCCTCAGTTTCCCACAAAGCTCATCAGCCACTCTTCATAAATGCCTCACTTTGGTGTTCTGCAGTCATGTATACAGCTCTCTCCTTTGCATTAACACAGTTCTATATATTATTTTATTTTGCAGTTCTTTCCATATGGAGATGCTTCTAAGTTTGCCCAGCACGCCTTCCGAACCTTTGATAAAAACGGAGATGGGACCATTGACTTCAGAGAGTTCATTTGTGCCCTGTCCATCACCTCACGAGGCAGTTTTGAGCAAAAGCTGAACTGGGCCTTCAACATGTATGACTTGGATGGTGATGGTAAAATTACAAGAGTGGAAATGCTGGAAATTATAGAGGTGAGGTCAATATGACACTCAAAAACATCACAACATTAATAAAATTTGATTCTTTGTTCACACAGACTTTAGATTTTAGGCTCACCAGAGGCTGTCAGGTACATTAAATGCACATTACATGCATTAATCCTGCACTGACTGGTGCCCAAGTGGTACAAGCACACTCACATGTTTGTTAATAGATGTAATCTTGGAGAATTGCAGAGACTACATATGTGCATATAAGCTTTTAAATATCCTGAGATTTTTTTTCCCCTGATGAATGGATTAATCACAAGAACAGCACAGGATTTACAAAGCCCATCTCAGTCACTTGACACCCATGAAATTATTGAATTGTAGCTCAAGTAGCTGAAGCCTTAGTGGAGATTAACTTCAGATGATTACAGAAATTTACAGGGATAACAACACGCTATTTTAAGTGAGCTCTCGCAGATGGGCTTTAAGATGACCACAACTTGTAAGAGGAAGGATAAAGTTTACCACCTTCATCATCTGCCACAGTAGTTAATACCAGATTGTGCCCACATCTACACACAGAAACCTATTTAAGGGTGGTGACTTCTAAAACCAATTATTCAGAATTTATGCGAAATATTTCAACTAAACAATTGATTCAGAGAGTAAGTTACAAGAATTTTACATTGTGAAATAGGAATCCAAAGAAATTCATTCCAGGATGTAAAATGTAAACATCAAAATAAAGTTACATCTAAAGTAAAATATATTCTTCCTTGTTTTAAGTATCTGGACTTTGGATCCTAAGAAAGAAAAGCAAAAAAAAAAAAAAAAAAAAAACAACCAACCCAAAACCAATCTTTAGAGAAGCTTGCAATCATTTTATTGTTAGAACATATTTCCAGAATTTGATCACATCAAAAAATTAGATTGAATTTCATGTTGAATTTTCCATTTGGTTTTTTTCCAAAGGCCATCTACAAAATGGTGGGCACTGTGATAATGATGAAAATGAATGAGGATGGCCTGACGCCTGAGCAACGGGTAGACAAGATCTTCAGTAAGATGGATAAGAACAAAGACGATCAGATCACACTGGATGAGTTCAAAGAAGCTGCAAAGAGTGATCCGTCCATTGTATTACTCCTGCAGTGTGACATTCAAAAATGAGCTCGTGTACGACGCGTCATAGACTGCACAGAAGTTTAATGTTCCATTCAGTTTGCAGCTATTTCCACACACACAAAAATTTGCTTGGACTACCTATAAATGGACTTGCTTCTTGTGTTTGAAACACTTGTGTGCATGAGAATGTCATTTGCTAAAGAATTTTAAAAGTATATATTATAAAAATAAACTGCCACAACGTGATGTGTGCAATGTCATTTCATAACAGCCCTCTTCCTCTGAATCCTGTGCAGCAGGCCTGTGCTGCAGTGAATTATATTATTTATTGTTCATGTTTTACTGATGCTAGCTCTGTGTCTCCTAGACTGAGTAATGTTAGTGACACTGAATTCCCATGGTAATGTTAACTGTTTATTATAAATCATGTCACCATTCTGCTGTAAAGTAGTACTGGACAGACAGAAGGGAAGAGCTTCTCGGCTCCCAAGTCTGGTCCACACGTGCTTGTATTGTCAGTGGATATAAATGTACTTCATTTGCATGCCTTTTAGGTTTGCCTTAATTCTTACCTCATTTGCATCCCTTCAATATGGAAAGAGCTATGTCAGAGGAATGCAGTATATTAAGAAAAAAAAAGAAATTCCTGCTAAAATTAATTAACCCTTTAATTAAGAATATATATAAATATATATATATATAATGTTTAAAATATTGTTTTATTGCAAGTTTAAAGGTTTTATTGGAAGTGTATTGATCTTTGCCAGAATTTTCAAAAGCTTCCACAGAGGTTGCAATATATATGTCCCAAAATAAATTTATAACATTTGACCTTTTCCCCTAATTCTTATTTCATGTCTTCAGCATGGTAATAAAAAAAGAAAAAGTTCAATCTCTTTAATTATCTGTCACTGCACACTGGGAAATATGTATTTCATTATTGAAGCATGAAGAAAACTACTTTACACTCACTCACTAGAATAGGCATATTATTCAAAACCAAAAGTTGTAGTTCTTGTATTTAAGGCTGGAGCAGCTGTTGATGCTCTAAGATGCTTATTGCTAAGATTTACCAGCGCAGCTACCAAACCTGTGCTGATTTTTAAGCTGTGTAAGTGAAATACAGTTTATTTGCTCAGCCTAAACCTGTTTTTTAATGTTTTTTCCCTCCTGAAGTAAGAGACTTCCCTCTTACCATCTGATACTAAACTACTCTATGTTTAATATAAACAGATATGATGATAAAAATCACTACTGATAAATTAACCATAAAGTATGATGATAAAGGAGGGATAGTGAGAAGAACCAACTTCCTCTTCAATTCTATGTGCACAAATCAAGTTTCTCGCTATCCTGTGACAAATTCTGCACAGCCTTGGGAAAGGACAAAGAACTATCAGACTGCAGAAACTGCAAATGAAAAAAACTCCCTATGCCCCATTTCCCTGATGCTTTAAACAGTTGGTTGCTTGCTGGATTATAAGAAAAAAAAAAAGCAATCTGAACACCTTACAATTGCATGTTTGATATTTCTCCCTTACCTTATGAAGAAACAGGACCGTACTTTTAATAGCTAAAAATCAAACAATAAAACATGACCCAAACCAAATAATTCTCTGTATTTTCAAATTTTAAAAGCAAAGCTTATCTTGAAATTAAAGGGAAAAGAAAACAAGCAACAAAAAGCAGTGTTACACAACTTGCTAAGAGTTGTTGTGGGGGGGGATCATGGAATCAATGGCTGCCACAACTACAGCCATACTATCAGTTTTGGGTTGCTTTGTATTCCAAACAGCAAAAGCACAAATATCAACTACAATTTTTACTCTAGAATTTTACTACAGACTACACATATAATAGTCTTAGCAAATGAGGGAGAAGTACACTTAATGCATTTGGCCGTAACTTAAAATACACATTCTAGAAATTACATACTTCTGAGAATTATATGCTCACATTGAATACTTCTCAGATTTTATGCCTCTGGTTTACATACATGAAAAACAATTTCTCATTCTATGTTTCCCTGCACATTGAATTTATGTAGCTAGACAGGCTCCATTTACTTTAGTGCAGCATTAAGCAATGCACTGTCATCCAAAATGGCCAACAACTCAAAAACACAGTCAAACTCAAAAATGTTAACATCAGCACTGCAATCTTCTCTCTAGGTAGCCACAATAGTAAACTATGTATTTAAAGAACCAAGAATATGATAGGTTGGAGACCTTAGTAGGATCACTGCAAAAATAAGTGCATCCATGCAAGGGCTTCAGTAATTGTTTATTCAGAATTCATTCTCTACCATGAAAATATGCTTATAATAATTATACAGTCAAGAACACATCTTCATCAAGTACAGAGGCAGAGTAGAATAAATACAAAGTACTGATTTGAATGAAAGACCAGAATTGTTGCCAGCTCCTCCAATATTTCAAGTAAGTCTATAAAAGCTTGGGAGAAAGCTGAAGTGTTAGCTCTGTAGGAATGCATTAATTTTCCTTAATCTCTTTTCTCCACACAACTCATTGCAGAAAACAAATGAAGATAAATGCTTTATTCTTTTCTGCCTCGCCTCTGCACTTTTGCCTTTTTTTTTTTTTTTGGATACTGAAGAGAATCAGGAGGAAATAATGCAATGCCATTTTATCTCATACTGTAAAAAGGTCTGAAACCTACCCCAATTTAATCATAAAATCGAGTCAAGCTCCACATGTGGCTCATGATCATGTCCTAGAATCAAAGAATTGTTTGGGTTGAAAGGGACCTTAAAGATTATTCAGTTCCAACCCCCTGCAGGCACATCTTGCATTAAAACAGGTTGCCCAGGGCCCCATCCAGCCTGATCTTGAGCACTTCTAGGGATGGGGTGTCCACAACTTTTTCAGTGCCTTATCACCCTCACAATAATTATTCTTAATATCTAATCTAAATCTACTATCTTTCAGTTTAAAGCCACTCTCCCTTGTCCTGTCACAACAGGCCCTTGTAAAAAGTCTTTCTCCAGTTCTCTTATAGCCCCTTTAAGTACTGGATGGTGCCATGAAGTCTTTCTGGAGCCTTCTCTGGACTCAATAGATGAAAATCTCATTTGTCTCCATAGCAGAGGTTCTCCAGCCCTCTGAGCATCTTTGTGGCCTCCTCTGATCCTGCTCCAACAGGTCCATGCTCTTCCAGTGCTGAGGACCCCAGACCTGGGAGCAGTACTCCAGGCAGGATGTCACAACAGCAGAGCAGTAGAATCACCTCCCTCAGCCTGCTGGTTCCAGACAAGTTTTGCCAAGCATGCCCTTTGTAAGGCACCCCCCAGTATCTTCACATAGTCCTAAAGGTGTAAGTACCTTGAATTATGGAATTATAGAATTGTTCAGATGGGCAAGGACGTTCATAGATCTCTTTCCCAGCTCCCTGCTTGAAGGAGATGTAGGAGTCTATTCAATATACTTCAAAAACTTCCAAGGACAGAGATTTCACAGCCTGCTTGTGTAACATGCTCAAACGCCTCTTACCTTCATCATGAACAATCCCTCCTGGTTTGCTCAGCCAGAACCTCCCCACTTCAGTCCATGACTACTGTTTCTTGCAGCATGCACATAAACAAAGCCTGGTCCTGTTTGTCAGTAACCTCCTCACAGCTGCCGGGAGTCTGCCCATTACCCTGGGCTGTCTGAAGTCTGCCAGGAGAGGCAAACAGCCTCAGGGCCTGTTGAAGAAGAGTACAAAAAGATCCCTTCAGCCCCAGCTGCATCTGTGTAGCAGTGGAAGCTTCCCCAGTTATGGATGACTCGGTGTAGAGTTCTCTCCCCTGCTGCATCACTGAAGCTGTGCCAGAGGTCTCTGGACAGTGTGGTGTGCTGAGGGCAGAGGGGGCTCTGTGCAGGTCACAGGGGTGCCTGATGCCTCTCTGAGAGGCTGGGGCTGACAAAAAGTTATTTTGGAGAGGGTGTGCTGTGCTTGAGGAGCTGTTGCCAGGTGGAAGGGCTTCAGGAGGAAGTGAACAGGCTATGTGGTGTTCCAGTGAACAAGCACCAGATAAGTTATTCACAGAGATGCCACAGTATCAAGACTCCCAGGAGTCTCAAACCTCCACTGTAGTGGAGAAGCAGGTGGACTCAGAACCCTGCAGGGTAATTAGTCAAGGGTGTTTTAGTCAAGGGTCTGCTCAAGATGAAGGCTGGAAGCAGGTCACTCCACGTACTGGGAGGAGGTTCCTCCTCCTCCTCCTCCTCCTCCTGAAAACAAGTAGGACTGGAACCTTCTACAACAGCTATGAGGCCCTGGAACAAGGCCAGACAATGAGGTGGGTGAAAGTTCTACGGGGACAGAGGGGCCTCCTAAAGCAACACCTCCTGTACCCTGCATCAAGACCTCCTCTGATAACAGCAAAAGAAGGGCAGCAGTAATAAGAAACTCCCTCTAAGAGGAGGGAGGTGAGGGAGGGCCTGACATGCATACCAGACCGAACTCATGGCAAATTCTGCTGGCTCCCAGGGGCATGGATAAGAGAAATTACTGAAAAACTCTCCAATCTAGTAAGGCCCTCTAATTCCTATCCACTATTGGTCGTTCAAGCCAGCAATGACGAAAAAACAAAGAGAACTCCAAGGACAATCAAAAGAGACTTCAGGACTTGAGTTGAAGGCTGAAGGATCAGAAGCACATGTAGTTTCCATAATCCTTTTGGTAACAAGGAATAATATTGACAGCAATAGGCAGATCCACCAGATCAACATATAGCTCCAAGGCTGGCGTAAGCAAAAAAAAAGATCAGGTTTTTACCATGGGATGATCTACTGAACACCTGCTCTACTGACACCTGATGACATGCACCTATCTCAGGGGGGGAAAGAGCTCTAGCACAGGAACCAGCAGGGCTCACTGACAGAAATTTAAACCAACTTGGAAGGAGGAAAGAGACAAAACCAGGCTTGCCAGTGGGGAGTGATGGCATGGCGTGCAAGAACTTGAGAAAACTAATGGGATCCCGCCATCTCCTTCAGGTTTGTTGGCTGCAAAGCACCACAGCTGAAATGTTTCTAATATGCACACAGTGTGAGGAACAAGACCATCTCAAGCCTTTGGCCCAATCTCAGAGATTTGGCATCACTGGCATTAAGTGAAACTGTGGGCTTAGTCCTGTGATTGGAGTGCCCTGTTGGATGGTTACAGGCTCTTCAGGAGGGATGGGCAGGGCAGCAGTGGCCAGGGCAGCACTGTAAGTCAGGGATGTAATGTATGGAGCCTACAGTTGGAAATGGCACACTTGCAAGCCTCTAAGTAAGAATCAAGGGACATACAAATAATTCAGTGTCATCTTGGAAGTCTCCTATAGACCTCTGGGCCAGGATGATGACACTGAGGAATGGTCTCTGAGGAACTAAGGGACACTTCCAGCTCAACTGCCCTTCCCCTTATGGAGGACTTCAACTTGCCAGAAGTCAGCTGGGAACATAACACAGCTGATGGGTCCCCTACAACTCAGCATTATTTATGGATCCATGATTCTCTAAGGTGTATTTCCTACCTAGCTTCCATATTTTAAAGAAACCTAAAAGTTTAATACTGTACTGCGACTGAAAACAAATTACGCTACCAAGTTAAAACTTACACTGTAATAAGGTTTTATTGAGGAACTGCTATTCAGTAAGAAAGTGCAGAAACTGCTGAATGTTGTTCTCTGAGTAGTCTCAATGGCTCCTGTAACCATGTAACATCAAACAACAACAAAAAATCCCCCAAAACAACAACAAAAAAGAAATGCAGCTGAACTCTAAAAAGTGGGGTTTTTTTGAAGAGTTGCCAAAAATTTCGAGTTCCTGGAGAAAAAAAAAAACAGGACAAGAAAAACACGTTAATTTGAATGAGTTTGAAAAATCTGCTTCTTCTTTCTCCCTCTTATCCCCAGTAAGTGCTTGC